CTAGACTTCCGATAGTGCGGCGATTAAAATCAGCATGCGAACGAACGGCCGTCACGCAATATGCAGGTCTAAAGCTGTGACCGACCTTTGTGTATGTTGCCTGTCGGAAATATAAAACTCTGTCTTAGACTTGTTTGTCGCTCTTTCCTTGACCATCCCTCCTAGGATACGTAGATTTTGCCGGCGAACGGTTCTCTATGCCATTAAAGAAGTGTTTTGTTTCGGAGACTAAACCAAAATAAAGATAAGTAAAGTATAGACAAGGCTAATCTTTGGATATAGGGAAAGTCTTAGATTTGTTTATTTCTCGCTCTTTCCTTGACCATCCCTCCTATTAGATTTTGCCATTAATAAAGCAGTTTTTTTCTTCGGAGACATCTATAAAAAAATGTAAATAAAGTAGACAAGACTAAGTCCTTTGAACACTGGAAAAATGGAATACCCAAATCCCTAGTGATATGGGTATCCCTTTCCAATAATATGCTTGTTTGTTATCGTTTCTTTAGTTCAGGGTAGCCAAATCGACTGACGATATAAAAGGTTTGCTTTGCCTTTTAATCCTCGGTCGATTTGTCGGGACATTTACTCCCAGAGGGTTACTGAGGTCGCACGTTTGCGACATAAAAGATATATCATACCATTTAATTATGTTTTCGGTCCAAACTGCTGAAAAGCACTTTCTCATCGTCAAAGCACCATTGGGGGATAATTCGTCCCCCATCTGACTGGAAAGCTATTGTCTTGGGTCAATGAGGCCTAGGCCGTTGATAGTTAAAACCCATTTAAACAACGCCATGGGAGCTTGAACCTTGATTTTCGTTCAAAGCAGGCACCTTGTTACCGCAGCACGGCACTATTAACTTATTCAAAATAAGCTGTGTACGTAATGTACAGACGATTTACACTTTTAAGCCAAAAAATAAGTAATACACTCTTCTTATTGGTTATACATCAATCTGATCAAAGGTCAGCATCTCAGACAGACCAGACAAGGAAAAAATTGTATTCTCAGCAACCAAAATATAAACTTATCCACCAAAGAAAATAACAACGAAATAAATATATTCTTCTTTATAACATAACT